CACACACACACACACACACACACACACACACACACACACACACACACACACACACAAGTTTGGACCAGGTGGTAAATCCTTATCCATCGGTCAAATGCACCCATGAATTGGTGAGAGTCTGACGAAACAAGTTGCCATAATCACCCATTGTCACCCATTTTGGGTTGAGTTGTGTTTACCAGATATAGTAATCCACAACTCACAGAACAAATACACACACAGTGCAAGGAAGTGTGTGTGTGTGTGTGTGTGTGTGTGTGAGAGAGAGAGAGAGAGACAGACAGAGAGAGAGAGAGAGAGAGAGAGAGAGAGAGAGAGACTGAGAGAGAGAGAGAGAGAGAGAGAGAGAGAGAGAGAGAGAGAGAGAGAGAGAAGCTCACCCTATCAAGGCCTCTACTTCCTCCCATTTAAGCTCCCGGCCCAGGACGCTAGCAAAGAGTTGTGGTATGCGGCTTCGATTGAGTGAAATCTCCGTTGGTGGATTTGTTGGAGGGCAAAGTTTGAGTGCTCGCTCCAACTCTGCAGCATCCAACTTTGACATTGTCTGGAACTCCTCATGGAATCTGCTGACTTCAATGTCGTGAAAGTGAATAGCCGAGCCTTTGACGCTGAGCGTTGAGAAGAGCGATCTCTTGCCGAGTGCCGTCAACCCGAAGAATGCCATTCCATCACGAACCGACAGTTTTGGAGGTGGACATGGCACACATTTTCCATCCGGACCCGGCAATGCCCGCAACCCGATGCCCGCAAACGTATTGCCTATGGCGGAGCTACTCTGCGCCTGGTTTGCGGTTACAGCTTGGGGTTTACAGGGTGGGAAATCTTTCGGAATCCTAGGATTATAGAACTTGCCGTCGCATTTCCTTGGTCTGTCACCGACTTGCCCCGCACCTGGAACCGGCGAACTTGGCAGAGGTTTGTCTCTTGTGGGACTTTGTGGGACTGCAACGCGGACTGGTGCAGCGCGTTCATACTTGGGATCGCAATCTGGTTGGCAACGCCCCCTGAAAGGAATCCGTACTGGTGATGACACAGCTTTATACTTGTCTTCACATTTATTTGGTTTGCAGGGGTCTACTGCTCGAACGCGAATTGGCGACACTGGTTTCTTGTTGCTTTCACATTGCTTTGACTTGCCTGGGACTTGTCCTGGACCTGGAATAGGCGAACTAGACCGAGGTCTTTCTTTAGCAATGCTGACCGGAACTTGAGACCCAACTGGAGAACTGGAAAAGGGTCGTCCTCCTGGGGGACTTATATATCTTTTGGGACTGCCAGCAAAGACTCCCCTTACCCCATAAGGTGGCTTGGTCCTGGATTTTGACAAGTCATCCAGTGGGTGCTTAAAGTCTCCAACCTGTGTGACTACCGACGGTGCATTGTCCCTGCCTTGCATTTTCTCAGAATCTTTCCGTTCTGCCGACATTTCTACCACCTTACGAAGAGGTCCCACTTTCCAGAGAACAGACCCCTCCTGTCAGAACTGCTGGACATGCATGCAAACAAAAGAGATCCAGCTTAGAATTGCACGAAAGCATACATAGAAAAAAAAGGGGAAAAAGGCTCAAAAAGCACAGGAAAACAACCCCCAGTTCTCTCATGGAGTCATGGGCACAAATACAGTTTACTAACAAACCAGATGACTGTCAAACCACCAGTACTTGGCCCATACATCGGCCGCGGGCCCTCTTTGTACACGCGCCGCAACTTTCGGGGCCTTTGCGGCTGTTGATGAATTTCATCGATGGCCTGCGCCGGTTTGTCTTTTGGCGCACAGGGCATCCCCAGTGTCAGAGAAAAGTGCCTCGGAAGTACTGGTGGTTTAATGATTTAATTCCCTTCCATTTGGTTGGGCAGTCAATCCCCCATGGGTGACATAATGACATTTGTCAGATACAGTGTATGTTATGTGACGGCGGGTCCGGTTTCCAGCATGTCCTGCTCCCGCCATAAAGATTGGAGACTTTGGAGACATCGTTAATGGTTGGGCCTCCATCAGGAGCGAGCGTGCCTCCTCCCTGGAGGAGAGCCCCTAATGCTATTCTTCGAAAAAAAATCGATAACAATGCCGGTTTTCTTGACTGCTTCAGGAAACAGGAAATCACCTGGTGAACTCTTCAAAAAAAAAAAAAGAAAAAGAAAAGGGAAATCACCTTGTGATGCTGTCATTCAGTGTGGCAACAGAAATGCCTCCAGGTTGTCTGGGCAAGGCCTGGCAGCAGAGCAGTAGACACAAGTGGCACCGCTTAAGCCACCAGTGGGGGCGCCCCAGCCTTTCAAAGAAAACAAAGGCCGGTTATCATGGAGCTGTGGGAAAGGCATGGAGTGCTCGTCGGGAAAACACTGGCGGGTCCTTGGGGACATTGGTTAAAAGTGGAACGATACAGAGAAGATTATCATGGCCCCTGCGCATTGAGGTGGGAGGGGGGGGGGAAGAGCGCTGGTGGCACCAGGCAAATTGCATACCGAGACGGTTCAGATTTCAGATGGCCGGGTAGGGGATTGGAAAAATGAGGATTGGAACTGGCAGTGCCTTGACAGCCTTCAGTCGTCAGAGTTAATGTTATGCCTGGATGGCTTCAGTAGCCTTGCTAGGAGTTGTTCTAAGATTAGGAGGTCAGAATTGCTGATATAGCATAGTCTCCTTTTTACACTAATTTTCATTATCATTAGCATCATCATCAGTAGTATCATTATCATCATCATGATCATTATCATCACCATATGAGGGACGCTGAGCCCGGTTCTCAGCAAGTTCGGCTCGGTTACTCCGGGCAGACTGTGAGGACCCCGGCCTCAATCTTCTTATTGGTAATATCAGCCTTGGGCACTGGGCCCGTTTAAAAAAAAAAAAAAAAGCCTTGCTGAGATGATAAGACTAATACAAGCTAGGTTTATCTCATTTGGGAACTTTGCTCCATGACTCATCATAATGACATCGTTCGCTAAAATCCGCTTCAAACAGTGTCGAAGGAGGAAGAACACACTTATTTTTAGTGAATCGGACAGATGCTTCCACACATGCTCATCACAGCAGAAAGACCGCAGATGCGGATGACTAGGCGGTTGCCTTGGAAAATTCATGTGAATCCATGTCCGAATTGCGTGTGGTTTTGGATAAATATATTATGTGCTTTTGGAAGCCTCGTGTAAACCACCAGTATGTTTCCCACCCATGTTCTCAAAGTCGCGGGTTGGATGCAGCCGCAACTTTTCGGGCTCGGCCACCGGAGCAAAGCAAAATGGCTCGCAACAACAGCCAAAAGGAGGCCTGCACTGGCTCGATTGTTTTTGACATGCACTGTCGTGCAGGTTGTTTCCAGCTCAGGAGAAAAGTGCCTCCAAAGTACTGGCTGTTTAACTGGGACAAATCGGTGTTCTTTCTTCCCCCGCGCTTGGAATTGTGTGTGGACCGCGGTTTGAGACATATATTCGGGTGAATGCGGCTGACCGCCTTTTTGGGTGTTCCAAGTTTCCCTTTCCAATTGTTCAGTCCTTCAAGATGTGTAACAAAAAAAAAAAAAAAAAAAAAAAAAAAAAAAAAAAATAAAAAAAAAAAAAAAAAAAAAAAAAAAAAAGATGACCT